AGATCAGAATCTTAATGGTACAATAAATCTAGTAATCACCTTGAGTCTTTCCAGACACTATTTAGATGAAAAATTGGAATCAGAAGCGTTGCATTCAATAGTCCAGCCACAGCAACTGCATCACAAATCTATTAAGGCCGTGAAGAAAACTGTCAGAGAAAAAGAAAGGAAAAATCGGATCCACAAGACATGTCTTTTGACACAAGTTTCTATTGTCAGCTATTCATGAATTTCATGCAGAATCCTTTTGTCCAAGTCCAAATGTAATTTGATGGAACAAATAACAATTAGACACTGAAAATTACAATAACAGGGATGGCTTTGGTCTCGCATGAATATCATATAAATAAATGAGTTGAAATACACATGTAGATAAAGGAAAATGTAAGTTTGGTGGACAGTCCAGAATGTTATGTTGGCACACTAATATTTAGGCCATTGATCATGTAGATTCTTGTTCAAATGCCTGGTTCCAATTCAAAGCAACTCGGTGATTGATATCTTTATGCAAAGATCAAAATCACAAAAACAATGACAAAATGCATTCAAAGCAACCCAACCAATTAAAAAAAGAATCCAACCACAACACACAGATAGCAAACTCTAACCATGGCAGCCACCCAAGTCCAAGAAAAATTGATAATAAATCAACAAAGCCATAGCAATCAAGAAAATGAATTCCAGTTATATGTAATCACACCTACCGACAAACGTTGCTGATTCAATCCACCATTCGCTTCAATTATAAAGAAACCATTTGACTTTGGTAGTCCTGTATTCCGTCCAAATATTTAAAACACAGCACCTGGTTATTCATTTAGTTTTTAACAACCACATAATTATTCATTCTATTTTCCAATAATCAGAATAACAGAAATTTAGATTTAAAATTCCTCCCAAGTTAACTTACTGAAAACATACCATATTCCGTTTCAAACACTTTTCATTAAGTAATTTGCCACACGGCATAAACATGGTGTTAAAATGGTGTGTAGCTGAAGTAATATGTCTTGGGAGACGTGTGTGTAGTTGTGTGCGCACAACAGCAGGTGGCAGGATGTTTTCATTTTCGAACAAATCCTGTTTAGTACTTTTTATGCACCCACTCCACCATTTATCGAGTATGTGTGGTGATAGACTCTTTACAGGCATTTGCAATCCATATTAATTCTGAAGCATCATCTCTAAACAATTTGAAAGTGCAGTTTAGTGTGTATTGGTAACAGAGTCTGAAAAACCCACCACATACTGAGTTTGAATAAGAAAATTCTGGGTAGCAAGTATGATAAATGTATCCATTTGATATTTTAAATACGTAATTCTCAGTTTAATTGTGATCTTCATATGAGAAAACCAAACCTTCATTTGAAATATCGTTGCTAATACAAGGCTTCCAAACTTGCCGCACTTTTGAATTCCACACCGCCATCAACTGCATCGTTTTCATATCAGCATACAGTCAATTCACATTGTCTGTAACCAAAATATTTGCAGAAGTGCATAAGTAACTACCTAAGTGAGCCCCCCATAAGACGTTACTCTAGAGAGGAACCTATCACTGCAATTTCATATAAAGACATTACATTTCTATACCAAAACTGATTCGATTGACAAGCACACCGTCCTTTTCCTTGTTCGGATTAAACTATGTGTTCTTTTTCAATCCTAGTACAGTCAGATCAAATTACCCAAATCAGTAGTAAACCCTACTGCATAACAAAAGATAGTTGACCATATCAAACTTAACACACAAGCATGCGCATAGATTGGTATAATGCTCTAAATTTGCCACGAATTCACCAGAGACAGAAGAAAATGGTGCACTTAGAATCTCCACCCAATGGAATCGAATCGAAAGTTTGCAAGAATTCACTCACCAAATTGTGAGTGTGATTGTTCTCAGCCTGCATATGAGGCCAAAGCTTGTGAAAAACCTGAGGGCTCCTATACACTGAGCCGGGAGGCGACCGCTTACTAACCACAACAACCGCATGTTTCAAGCTAACTACATCAAAGTTCACCGTGCCCATATACAGCAACATCCCCGAAAGGTACAACAATGGCGCGAACAAAAGCACGGCGCGGCGCTTAAAAACGACCGAGATGAGCAAGACGACAACCTTCTCCAGAATGCTCTGCTTGGGCCCTCGGCGGCCGGCTGCGTTCTTGTTGCGGCCGTGGCGGCAGCGGGGGGAGGATGGCGGAGAGCCCGCGGGTCGGGGATTGCCGAGCCGGCTGTAGCCGTGCATTGAAGAGCAGAGAACTCGGGTTCTAGAGATTGGGGGAGAGAGGGGAGTCGAGATCTGATCGCGGGAGCTGAGGAGGCGGCGACATTACTGATTACGTACCATCAGAGAGAGAGAGAGAGAGAGAGAGAGAGTGTGTGTGTGTGTCAGTGGGAGATGAGGTTTTGGGTCGGTGGGGGAAGAGAGAGAGGATAATATAGAAGAGCGTGTTGGAGGCGCGGGCGGCTGCAATCACGGGAAGTGGAGATGCCACTCTGATTTGATTGGATGACAGTGCCAGTGGGCGGCTGTGGTCTTAGGTGAAAAAAATATAATACACTTTCTTTTTATTCTCTTTATTTTTAATTTTTTAATTTTTTTTTTTTTCAAATATTAAGCATTTTTCTTGTCTTGAGACTACTATACGATTCTCAAGTAGTGTTTTAAAAATCGGTCTAAGCGTTAGGCAGGTGAAGGACCTGATGCAATTTAGGCCGAAATGTTGAGAAAAATCAAGTAGGGGTCAGACGGGCTAGGTGGTTTCATTGTTTTTAATCTTTTTTAATTAAGTTGAAGGGTTTTCTAAATAACTTAGTTAATTAGTGAATTTTCAAATTTAATTTTTCTTATTTTTTGCTGCATTTGTTAATGAGGATGGCAATATGGCTTAAGTTTTAAGTTTAACTTTGATAAATTCTCAATAGAAGTATATTTTTATTTTTTAGAGTGTACGTAGGTACATATTTATATGTTATATAATAAATTTAATTAAATATGCCTAAGGGCTAGACTTCAATCTGCAATCGGACTAATGCATAACGTTTTTTAGAACCTTATTATCAAGTGAGGCCAAATCTTCATAGTTAAAGTATCTCCAATTTTGGACGCTCTAATGCATGATTGTAAATAAAGAAAGTTGTAAATACATGTGTGAGTTTCATATTGATTTTAATATAGAATATCAATGAAATTTAGGTTTGTAGGAGTTGTTTATCTCGTACACATACATTTTCATCCACATTTTTTTTTATTTCTTCAATCCAACTAAGTATAAAATGAGAAGGGCTTGAACAAGAGGTTAGACAACAAAAGGGGTGGGTTTCTATAAAAATCTTATTAGACATTCAACTCGTTCTAAGAAAGAAAAAAAAAGGAGCTTTTCGTAACAGAATTTGTAACATCCCACATCATCCAGGGTAAGCATTATATGTATATTTTTATCTCTACTTAGCACAAGGCCTTTTGGAGTTCACTGACTTCAGAGTTCATCGGAACTCCGAAGTTAAGCAAGTTCATGTGAGAGTAATCCTAGGATGGGTGATCCATTGTGAAGTTCTTGTGTGAGTTCCCAGAAACAAAACCGTAAGGGCGTGGTTAAGGCCCAAAACGGACAATATCGTGCTACGGTGGAGTCAAGCCGGGGATGTGATGGGGGCTTAGGCGGAATGTGACAATTTGGTATCAGAGCCAATCCTTGACCACTGATTTACTACTCTATAACCAAGCCCCGTCAAATTTACATTTAAGCCTCCTTAGCTTTAGTCTCTTTCATAATCGTATCTCCCATAATTTTTTTTTCTATTTGCACAATCATTCATTCACCACCATCTCTACTGTCTCACCACCACTGTTGCTGCCGCTGCTATTGCCACCACCTTTTCCACTATCTCTTAACAACATGATCCTCACCACCTGTCATATCAACATTACCACAATCAAGCCTCACAACTTTCGTTAACACAACCACTATGTACCACCATCACTCCCACCAACATTGCCTCTTACCTTGTTATTGCTACCAGCATTTTACCCCGTCATCTTAAAATTTATTTTACAGAAGTATTTACTAACAAACACTAATTTATTATTTTTCTGATATTTTAGATATTAAAACCAGATATTTTCAATATTATTTTTTCTCAAATATCATTATCGGAATAAACTATCAAATGCATTCTCAAATCATAAAACTGCAAAATCCTTAACAAAACAGATTAAAAAATCCTTTTTTTAAACGCAACCGTGTGGGCTCTCAAAACGGCCCCAACATAATGGGCCGTTTTCACATACTGGACTGGTCGAGCAAAGAATGCCCATTAAGGAAAGTAAAGAATTGTCAAATCCAAATTCAACTGAAAAGGGTAGAATCGACAATATGAAGGTATGAAAACCCTAATCTAAACACTGCGCTCGTTGCCCTTGAGAAACCAGTCGGTCCCCAAACTCCAAGCTCCAAACTCCAAACGCCGTGGTGAAGATGGATAAAGGGGCAGGAGAGAAGAAGGAGGGGCCTGTTGTCATAGACATAAGGCGCTATTACTGCGACTACTGTGGCATCTGCAGGTCCAAGAAGTCTCTCATTGCTTCTCACATTCTCTCACACCACAAGGTTTTTACTCCCTTCTTCTTCTTCTTCTCCTTAATCTTGATTCTTTTCGGTCGAATTATGAATTTTGACGAATTGGGTCTTTGTTTTTTACAGCTTTTCTGTTGTGGGTTCACTTTGTTTTGCCTCTAAAACAAAAATTACAAGTGAGGTCTGTTCAATTTTTTAATTTTTTGAATTTTTGATGCAGGAGGAGATGGAAATGGCTGACGGTGATGGAGGTGGGGAGGTTGGGGAAGAAAATTCCAATACTTGTGAAGAATGTGGTGCCACTTTCAAGAAACCTGCACATCTCAAGCAGCACCTGCAAAGTCATTCCCTTGAGGTATTGTTTGCTTTTATCTTTAGGTCTCGCCTGATTAAAACAAGCTGAGATTTGTAAGGAGTTCAATTCTGCGTGTTGCCTTTAATGCCTTGTCAGCTGACTATAAATCTTCCATGGACTACTTGCGATGAAATCTTTCGAGGGATTTTGTTATTCTCTCACGAGTTGTCAGTAAACCGGCAGCAGGTTTTAATGTATATTTGTATCACTGTGATATGATATGAGTCTGATGACGCATTTAACAATTGCTGATTATGCGTATAGCTGTCTGCAATTTCTGGATGAAGTTTGTGTAATCTTTGCATCGATCGAATCGTTTAAAGATATAAGTTTTGCAGGAATCAACATATATGAAAAATATACAATGGATAGCGTGAAGCATTGGATCCCACACAAAGAACTCCAAAATGCGATAAGGTTCAGACTTGATGGACTAGTACCAGGTGGGAGACCTCCTGTGAAGCTCCATCAAGCGAACCTGAATCACGCGCTGGTTGGTTTGAGGTTTGATGACTGTTCAAGTGTATTCTGAAATTATTTTTATGAGTTCATCAATTTATTTCAGCTTATTTATTTCAGAGGCCATACATTTGTTCAGTGGATGACTGCCATTCCAGCTACAGACGAAAGGACCACTTGACCCGCCATCTCCTTCAGCACCAAGGGAAGCTTTTTGAGTGTCCAGTTGAGAACTGCAATCTTAAATTTGTTTTCCAAGGTAACATTAAGAGGCATGTCAATGAACGTCACACTGAGGATTGCCCTTCAGCTGATTGTGGAGCGCAGAAGCAGCATGTATGCCAGGAAATTGGTTGTGGAAAGGCGTTTAGATATGCTTCAAGGCTGCAGAAGCATGAGGAATCCCATGGTAGCTTTTGTTTCCAAATTCTATTTTTCTTTTCTAGTTTTGTGGTGTGTTGTTTGTGAATGCAATGAAATAATGCAGATACATATAGATACACTTTTTTTTTGCTTCAAAATGAGAAAATGTGTTGGTGTAATCCTAAACGCTGATGATATCCTTCCGTAATGCAGTTAAGCTAGATACAGTGGAGGCATTCTGCTTTGAACCAGGCTGTATGAAACACTTTACCAATGAGCAATGCCTTAAGGTCCATATCCAGTCCTGCCACCAACATACTACCTGCAAGATATGTGGGGCCAAGCAGCTGAGAAATAATATGAAAAGGCATCTTCTCACACATGAAGGGAGGGGTTCAATAGAAAGAATTAAATGCGATTTCAAGGGTTGTCGTCGCACGTTTACAACTGTAAGTCGTTGACTAACTTTGAAAAGAGAGAGAGAGAGAGAGAGAGATCTTTTATAACATGATTTCGTTTAGTCAAGTGATCGGTGAACAAGGAAAACTAGTATTTATACCAGTGAATGGATTGATCATAAAATAATTGTTGACCAATAAATTTTGTTATTTTCATATGTAAAATATTGTGTAGTTATTCTGTGTTGACATTTGGTTTTATGTCTGCAGAAATCGAATCTCTCTAAACATGTGAGAGCTGTACACCTTGAGCATAAACCTTTTGTCTGTAGCTTCTCGGGTTGTGGCATGAGATTTGCATACAAGCATGTGAGAGATAACCATGAGAAGACTGGATGTCATGTCTATACCCATGTAAGATTTGCTCTTGAATCTTCAATTCCGTCATGTGTTGCCTTTTTTCATGTTCTTTTGAGCAAGTATATTTAAAGGCAGTGTTACAATATCTATTCACATGGATAACATCAACTGCTTTGAGTTTCAGGGGGATTTTGAAGAGGCTGATGAGCAATTCCGGTCAAGGCCAAGGGGTGGCCGTAAGAGACAGTGCCCCGACATACCAATGTTGGTTCGGAAAAGGGTAACACCACCAAATCGGTCAGCCCAGGAGTCCGAGTACCTCTCCTGGTTGCGATCACAAGAGGACAGTGACGAGCATTGAGTCGTGCCTTATGTATGGATGTGGTTTAAACATTCTTCCACGACGCAAATCGAAGTTCATTGTGGATATAAATCTGAATTCTCAGATATGTAAAGTAGGAAATTTTGATAGTCTCTGAAACGGTTCATCATCAAAGATCGAGTTCTTAGGTTCTGTAGTTTTGGAAAGGTAGTTTTGATTACGCCGTTCGAGTTGGCATGTTGTACGACTTCTGAATGTTATTTAGGAGAAAGTAAAAAAATTAGTGACCTTGATACACAAGCCCTATTTCAGCCTTATTCTTTACAGTCTCATATAAGAACATAAAACAATTATGAAATTTATTCTGTGAAGATACGTTATGCTCGAAGGGACCAATGTCCCCGTGGAAATGCAATTGATATTGAAATCGTTATTTATAGGAGTCGAATCAAAATTTACAAGTAGAAGAACGTGATTTCACCTATCCATTCCACTTGTGTGCCAAGGAAATGGACTCGAACCCCTTCCCAATCACGAATAAGATCAAGAGGAGCCCGAAACCCCCCAACTAAGAACGGAAACGGAAGCCATTTGACTCAGTTCACATTCGGCCATTTTCCATTTGCAATTCCGTTCCCGACGCCGTGATGCCAAAATTGGCATCACGTTTCCACTAGACTATAATACTAGTGAGTAGCAACAACTGCTCAAATTGGTTTTGTTTGGTCGCTGTGAGCGGGTTGAACCGGTTTTGATAGCCGGTTTATTCTTTTTTTTTTTTTTTTTTTGGTTACATTTTTTATAAGACCGCCCTGTCCTCCCCCGGTAATTTGTGAGCAAGTAGAGAAACATTAGCCATTAGGCTGCTGCTGCGTTCCAGTGCGACATTGTCGAGAGATGGTGACAATAATATCCTGCTCAGCATCTCCTCCATTAAGTGTCTGTGGGTCGCTCAGCCTCTCCTCCTCCGAGTTACTTCCAACTCGGTCGACTCAGCAGCTTTCATGGGTTTCTTCCTTTCCTCCGATTAACATCTCCATTGCAGACCCGCCCACTCCCACACTGAGTAGGGTAAGTAACACACTCACTCAGTCACTCACTTTAATCTCTCAATTAGCAGTACCAACACCGCCAACAACAAAACCTTATCCCACTAAGTTGAATCCCAAAACACGAGTGCGCTCGATTTTGCACCAAATCTTTTGTTGGCTCAAAGTACTCAATTCTCAGTACCAAATACAAAAAATACGTATGTTCGTTTATTCTTCAAATTCCTCCTTATCTTTAGAGTTTAGATAAAGGAAGGAAGATATCAATTTCAATTTTTATTATATAATTGAAGGCTTGAAGCTTTTGCAGCATTACTGATATGGGATTTTAACAAAATGGTTTGGTTCCTCAAAATGTATGTATGTATGTTAGTGAACTCATTGAGAATAGTTGCAATAGTTTGTGCAGATATGAGTTAGGCTAGTTGGCGAGGGTCAACTAAAGTTAAAGTTCAAATTTCCTTTTCCGTAATTTAGAGTTGTTTAGAATATCATCTTGTCGTAATAGTAAATCAAAATCAAGGATACTTGCAGTTTACGATTCGGAAACAGCCGGCAGATTGATTTGAGTGAGAGTTGTGGGGTACTGGTGGTTTCAATCTTGATTTCTAGATAAGAGCAGATTTTGAGTGAAGGAAGGAGTCAGCCACAGTAAATGGTGAAGCTTCAAATTGTGGCTGTATGAGTAGCGGTGTTTTAAAAAACTAGGTTTAAGATTCGCCTAGGCAGTTTTTGGGGCGGGGCTATGAAGAAAACGCCTCTGCCCAGCTGGAGTGGGCTAGACTAGCCTAAACGCCTAGGCTATTGGCTCAGCGCACCTAGGCGACTTGGGCATTTGAATTTTTTTTAAAAAGGTCCAAACCCAAAACAACGTTGTTTTGGGCAGGGTTTTTATGAAATTCAAGCTAATTTTATGCTTCTAACTTAGTTTCTATTAGTTTATTATGAATATGATGTGAATTAGAGAAATAATAATAATAGTCAGATATTTGATTGCTTGGCATACTTGCTTGATATTTTTACATGTATTAAGTATTATAATAACTTTATAGCCTCATGTCTCGTGGCTATCGCCTAGGTGCGACTATCCATGAAACGCCTGGCTTCTCCTTCGCCTTTTAAAACATTGGTTGTGTAGTGACATCTAACTAAGGGGAAACGATTAGTGGGATGCTTGGTATCAAAATTATCGTATACGTTTGCATCCAATTTTCTTTTCTTGTAAACAAGGAAGGCTTTTCTTGGTTTATATATGTCAGTGAAATCTTGTGCCTAAACTTGGTAAACTCAATTAACACCCTGCTACCAAAAGTCCTCTAACCTTTGTGTGGAAGGGACTTCCAGCAGCATATATATTCTGCTGATTATCCCTTTCCTGACTCGGTGAAAGAAAATTTGAAGGTTCTTCAATGTGATTTAAAACCAAGGAAAAAACCGTTTTGGATGTCAGGGCAGTTCTGGATTGTATTTGTCATGTGCCAAGTCCGTTCTTACTAATCCTTGCACTTCTGTTTGGACAATCCTGTTGTTTTGGGCATCTTTCTCTCACACTCACTTTCTCTTTACCTGTGATTTTAGAATTCTGTTGTTCGAGCTGCATGGACCCGGAGATCTCGAGGTGAAGCTGCAAAGAAGCCTAACAGGAAATCCTGGAAACAGAAGACTGATATGTATATGAGGCCATTCTTACTAAATGTTTTCTTTTCGAAAAAGTTTATCCATGCAAAAGTGATGCATCGGGGAACAAGCAAAGTGATATCAGTTGCTACCACCAATGCCAAGGATCTTCGGAGCAACTTACCTTCACTCACAGATCACAACGCGTGCAGAGTTATAGGGAGGCTTATTGCTGAGAGATCGAAGGAAGCCGATGTATATGCTTTGTCTTATGAGGCCCGAAAAGGTGAACGGATTGAAGGTAAGCTTGGGATTGTTCTTGATACCATTAAAGAGAACGGGATCATGTTTGTTTAAAGATACAAGTTTATACTCTTTCAGTTATGTTAACTGCAGAAGAAACTATATGATGTAGAATGTTTATCGTTGTTTGACCAACAAATGAATATCTCACAAATTTGTGTGTGTCAAGGCTTTCTCTAGTTCGTTCCTGGCATTCTTGATGCACCACCACGTTTAGTGTATATATATATCTTTTGGCTAGTGCTGCCCACACACCCATTTTTCCAGTTGTTGGATCAAATGAATTGAAGAAGATTAATGGACCAAACAAGGGTGTGTGGAGGTAAAATGGGGTATGTGAATAACATTACCCAATCTTTTATGCCCGGTTTAATTTACTGTTCTTCATTACGTTGATGGCTATTGGATGTGTGACCCGTGTAGGGGTTAATGTGTAAGTCACATTTGCTTCACATTGACAAATAAAATAAAATTCATCAATTTAGTGGAGGATTAGACGTTCAAACATGAGGATGGTATAGACTGATACCAAAATAGAACTCGTGTCCCAATTTGAAAACCACCTAAAAATCTGGAGTGTGTTAAATGGAGTTTACACAAATTTCTAACATAGTATCTCATGGCAAGTTGCTAATCTTCTGTATTAGAGGGAATTGAGACATGTACGTATACTAATCATCGTCCATTATCCCAACTAACAGGAAATTTTTTACTCCAAGGTTAAAAAGTTAAATTTTTTACTCTCACAACTAACAGAAAATTTTCATAACCAACTACAAAGGTTCCATGCCAACATTAGATGATATTTCTTGGATCTGCGTACTAGGAGCTTGAGTGATGGTGATCTAGTTCCGGCAATGGTCTCTCTTCGTAATGGAATGACTAGTTCGCGTAAATTGTGCATACGGTCTGTTTCATCCTTACGATGGCCAGCATCAAACAGTGTAAGTAATAGCATTGTGTACTCTCTCCTCTCTCTCTCTCTCTCTCTCACGAAAGCAAGTCAGTTGATTTTCTTGTTGCGTTTCCAGGCATCAAGGTGTAATATGAGCTACTACGAATCCCGTAATCTTGCTTGTATGGATCAGCTTCAAGACGTAGTGATACAGGTTTCAGATGGTACCAATGAATGGGAGTTTGCTAAGTATATACTGAAGCATGCTCAGAAATGAAAGAAAATGGTCTTTCTTTATTCTTCCAGTTATAGAGATGTAGTAATGATGAGGAAAACCGAGATGATCTCTGCTGCAACAATTATCTTCCAGCAAAAGTAGAGCATGTAACGAAGAAAAGAAAACGAGGTGGGGAGCGAAGAAGGAAGCAGTTTTAAATGTGCATTGTATCACTTGCTATAACAATGAAGTATGTTATTTCTATGTTACTTGATTGTCAAGCTAGCTTGTAGTACTAGTAGTACGGCTCTTTGAAGAAGATGACATATGTGATACAACAAATAGCAAAAACGATGATCAAAACATCGATGGTGAGGGCTGTCATCGCTTGATCGCCCAGCGCCATGTTCTTTCCACCAAGACGATCAACCATGTCCGGGACAGGTTCATACGTCTCTACTGCTTTCACGTAAGGATCCTCCAACTTCATTCGCATTATTTCCGCTTGGCGGCTTGCAGCCTCTTGAGCGAGGGTCCAGTTGTAAAACCTACGGCTCTCTTCGTTGCTCAACACATCATAAATTTCTCGTAGCCTCACGAACTTGTCGGACGCAGTCTTGAGGGGAAGAGAAGTGGTGTCCGGATGGTACTCTTTGGATAGTCTTCGATAAGCGGCTTTGATTTCTTCTAAATCAGCTTCTGCAGGTACCCCTAAGAACCTGAAATTTTTTTTGGTGTCATTGACAATGAATCAGAGAGCATTGAGTAGTAAGAAACTCAAAAACTTAAATTTGTTTAATGTCTCACGTGTTTGTAACTGCTTTTAAAATAACCGAAAGTGCTTTTATAAAAAAAAAAACTTTTTAGATTCCAAAATCGCTTAAAGCGCTTTATTGCCAAAAGCCAATTATGCGTTTCTTGCGAGAATAATAAAGTGTTTTTCTAAGTTCACATGCAATTTTACTAAGAATTGATTCCAAAAACATTTTCATTAAAAACGAATTCAACTGTTTTAAAAACACTTCCAAACAATCCCTGCATCTGCTCTAAATAGTAGGAAATAATTTTTCTAAAACATAAAACATAAAGAAATTGAGTTTAAAAATGAGTGGAAGGGAGAAAAGAAGAAAGAGAGACTGACTGGTAATGGGAATCAGAAATGGAGTCATTGAGCAAATCAGCAAACTTGTCTCCCAGGAGATTGCTCTTCTGCTGCTCCGACTCCGGCTCTTGCTC